CGAAATTTCATGACATCTTCGCAGATAAAGAACCGATTTTAATGACTCTTTTTCTTAAAGCGTTAGGGAATATGTTACGAGTAAACATCAATTAATGAAACGTCTCATTAAAATTTAAATTAAAGTGACATAAATGACTTATAATTGTGTAGCAATTTTATGTTTATAACAAAACAAATAAACATAGATGATAAAAATATTTTTAATTTACAAATGAATATTTATTACACAAATGCTAATTTAATTGTTATTTTACGATTTATAATTTTAATTGTTTGAATCACATATGATGACAAGTGATAAAATCTGCAACTTTAGCAAAAATAGTGCACGAGGTAAAATTCTACGACAATGAAAATTTTAGTGTGGGACGAAAGTGTGTGGGACGAAAGTACAATGTCGCATAAAAAACTGTAGAAGCACTAAATCGAACGCTTCAGGATTTGCGCAGCAATACCGATGTAATGGGAAGAATGGTGGTTTTACTGGCTGGTGACTTTCGCCAAACTTTACCTGTCATTCAAAAGGGCACACCTGCAGATGAAATTAAAGCATGCGTCAAGTCGTCTATTTTATGGAACAAGGTGACAAAATTCAGTTTAACTACGAATATGAGAGTGCATTTGTATAATGATATCAATGCTGGAAACTATGCTGACACACTATTAAAAATTGCGTATATATACTTATTTATATTCCCGACGTTTCACGGGTGATGTCATTGAATTTTGAAGAAAAAATAGAGGAAAAAGTTACATATTGGACTACTGTTTACGAAATTTCATGACATCTTTGCAGATAAAAAACCGATTTTAATGACTCTTTTTCTTAAAGCGTGAGGGAAGATGTTACGAGTAAACATCCATTAAGGAAAAGTCTCATTAAAATTTAAATTAAAGTGACATAAATGACTTATAATTGTGTGTAGCAATTTTATGTTTGTAACAAAACAAATAAACATAGATGATATAAATATTTTTAATTTACAAATGAATATTTATTAGACAAATGCCAATTTAATTGTTATTTTACGATTTATAATTTTAATTGTTTGAATCACATATGATAACAAGTGATGAAATTAAAAAAAATTAGTACAACTGACTCAATATAAAAAAATTGGAACATCATCAACGATAGTCGAAGTCAATAATTAAATATCTACGCATTATTAAGGATAACTCAAAAACTACATTTCAGATCTTGGGCAAATTTATATGGGACCACAAGAAACGCAGCTGGTCCCAAATAAAAAACTGTTACAAAAATATCAAAATTGGTTCATCTAAAAAAGTTCTGAAATAACACGTATAAAAACTACAGTCGAATTGATAACCTCCTCCTTTTTTAGAAGTCGGTTGAAAAAATTACGTTGGATTAGTTTTCTCATAAATTGTACATGTCAACACGTTAGAAAATGGTTTGGCTTTGTTTTTTTTTTTAATTTTCAACCTATATGCTGTTGTGTTTGGTCGTATATTGAATGGTAAGATCCGGAGACCCTTTTTATTTGAAACGGGGCATTCCATCTCAGTCTTCAGAGGATATGTATTTTGATTCTTAATTTAGAATAAATGTATATCTTTATGCGCCACAGCAACCACTGGACACATCACGTGGACTGTGTGCTCGTTTATCATCCTTATTAAAAAAGGCATCTATCTAATAACAACACAACTGAAACTCTGGCTTTGGATTTTTGATAGGCTATAATTAATTGAAAAGGAACCAAATGGTGTGTAAACGTTCAACTAAGAAACAGAAGGGGGTATCGAGGCTTCTCTCGATCCGGCCTCCTATAACGCCTACGTTGGGTTCGGGAACAACGTATGTGATCTCCCGCAACGGAGTAACACACAAGGGCGATAACCACTTCCTTTTCAGCAAATAGGTTCAGACGGGGATTACGGGTCTTCCGAAGTCGTCCCGGTCCCAACGCCTTAATTCTTCGATGTGGACTGTATAATTTTGAGGGATGAATTTCTTGGGAATAAAACAGCAATTATCTTCAAACCGTTCCGTGAGAGAGTAATTACTTTTTCCCTATCACTTCCCTACACTTTTTCTTTCTTCTTATTGACTGCTGGTCTTGCACTTTTCCCGAACTTTCCCGAAGGATTCCCGAACGATTCCCGAACTTTTTTCCCCGAACTTCCCGAACGAACTGCAATAAAACTCATTTACTGAGCTACCCCAGAGCTATACGCGAAAGTGAGCCGCGCCATTCGCGCACTTGCGCAACTCAATTACATGAATTTGTTCAATAACTCTCTCACGTTTTACTTAATTACTTTATTTGCATAAGTCATACATCAACATAATTTACCTGTATAGATAGCACAAAACAATATCTACACTACGATATACATTACATTTTCATATCACAAAAAACCTTTTATTTATTTAACAAAATATGCCTATTTTACTCACAAGTTCAAAGTCGAAGTTTCTTAAATATTTAACATAGAAAGTTAAAACAATGTTTTCCACTTGAAATTATACATAAGTTAACCAATACAATAGTTTAATTTACATTTTCTCTATTCATTTCACTATTAAAACACTTTTAAATTTCTTATACAAAACTATCATTATTTCACTTATACACAGGAATTTTCACATAAAAATAACACAGAATTTACTTTTTTAGCACGTTCAATCAACCTGAAATGTTTTACAAGTCATTTTTACATAAATTGCTGAAATTACAAATATTTAAATTTTTACATATTTGGCCTCCTAAGGGCGTGGCTTAGCGTGCGTCCGTGAACTCACACTATTTGAACAACTAACTTTGCACGGCTCTCGACTATCAGAAAAAATGAAAAGTCTAATATACACCAATATCGACAGTATTAGGTGAATAAATGCTTCTACACAATTTTCAAACTGTAGGAAACTATTTCTAATCAGATTCTTATCAGTTATCATGTTTCTTATCAGATAACAATATAAGTGAATGTTCTCATAAATCAATCATAGCAAATAGGCATTTATTTTCATACAAAACATATCAAACTCATATAAGGCAATACTTATGCAATTAATTTCCGTTAATTCTATTTATGCACAGAGTGATCATCTCGACCGGGAAACAAATCCGATCTCTAACTTCACTTTAATATTTCTTTGAATTTACATCATTGGAAAGATGATTTCAACCGGGGAACAAATCCGGTAACATAATTTATATCTTAAAATTCCCTATATGAATTTATTAAGAGATATTACTTAAGAAAACAATAAACTAGTCCGGCCTGGGAGTCGAACCCAAGACCTTCATATCATTAATTCGACTTTCATTAAGATTTAACTAAGCATTTTCTTATTAAAACATTGCTATTGGACAATTTGCCTTTTAGAAGCTATTCGTCATCGGTTGACTTAATAAACTGAAATATTCTTATAGGCGCGTCGCCAACATTAATGAATAGACCAACACCAGTTCCCGATTTAAAAAAGAAGTCTTGTCTTTTGAACCGGCCATTCCATCCTAGTCACCTCGGAGGTGACTAAGATGGAATGGCCGGTTACCGGTCTCTGGTTCTCGTCACATATTTGTTTATAGAATAAGTGACAAAACAGCACACAGTTCACCTGATGGTAGGTGGATGCTGTGGCCCAAATGATATCTACATTTATTCTCAGTTAAGAAATAAAATGCAGATGCGTTTTTACCACTGAGGACTGAGATGGAATGCCTCGTTTTCAGTAAAAAGGGTCTCTAGTTCTCTACAATCATCATATAAAAAATTGCAGCATTAAGCTGCTATTTTACTCTGGTATTCATCGTTTATTATGTGTGATGAAATCCAGCGATACTATGAATTTGTGTATACATCTTACGAAACATGTTTTTTCTTAGGTCTTTTTAAGACGATGCCAAGTAGCACAACTTCGAACTGTTGACCATAGTATTTGAGATTTCAGTACGATCCTCAGTGACGATATGGATAAGGGTTAGCCACTTTGAAATTGATATAATTTATTACAATTTATTGTTTCCTTAAATAAACCTTCTTTAAATAAAATTTCCTAAAAAAAAAACAAGGGCCTGCTTGTTTGTGAAATTGCAAAACACGATATTAGGTATTATTTGTACTTAAAAATAAAAGTATTATTTACACTTGAGATTGTTTTCTCTTGTTAATTCTGATTTGTGATCCACCTTTACTTATTTTTTTATTTATATTTTTGACTGGCTGTTCTCTGCGACATCGTTCGCGTGGAATGGGTTTTGATTTTGTTACGCGGAACCCTAGTTGTTTTTATAAAATAAAAACAGGCCTATTTTACTCCCTATAACATCAGCTATCAGCCAGTTAAAGTCCTGTCTCAATCGGTCCAGCCATTTTAGAGATTTGCCGGAACAATAAGACAGACCGACAAACAAAAATGTTTAAATTTTTTTGTTATAAGTACCGTATATACTTTTAAATGTATTTAGTAAAAAGATGTTAGTTTGAGATTACAAACAGACACTTCAAATTTTTTAATTTGTATAGATTTATAGGTCGGTTTAAAAATAAAAAATAACTAATTACAAAAATATAAAAATTAGCAGCTCCACTTCGTTCAGTTGTCCTTTATTAGGTATAAGGCGAATTTGAAGCGGTCAACCGACGGATTCAAATTCGCTAGGACGTGTTTGGGAAATTGCGATCTCATCTCGAACACTATACAAATATGAAACAAAACAGCATGTTACCAGTGATGACCTATGGGGCGTGATAACCTATGGAACCAAGGCGGCGGTAGTTGAGCTTAAATTCACTTGGAAAGCAATGAAAAGGCCTTAGCTTTAATTTCCAATCCAAAATGATGATGTCTGCAACATCATTTATATTAATGACGTAGCCCAACGGATTAGTAAGCTAAAGTGGCAATGTACCGGCCATATCTCGTAGTTCGAAGACTCACGACCACTTGGGAAACAATCTCGAGCTGGCAGAAGATAATGCTAGAAGGTAGCTCAGATTTCAGAATCATGTTTTACAGCTATGTTCAGCTTTAGGCTTATGGCAAATAATACTGACACTGACGGTGCTGTAAATTTTATTAACTACACGTGTGAAATAAAAACCACTGCTGCGTGATAGTGTAGAGAGAAAATTTATTCAACAGCACACAATGAGTGAGCTCTTGAATACATTGCAAACAGACTCAGCTTTGCTTTTACAGAATGAAAATCTCCGTCTCAGTGCAGCGAGCCAGCGAGCGGTCTCGGCTCACCTGTGCTAGCGAGCGGTTTCGGCTCACCCGTGCTAGCGAGCGGTCTCGGCTCACCTGTGCTAGCGAGCGGTCTCGACTCGCCCACGCCAGCGCGCTGTTTCGGCTCACCCGTGCTAGCGAGCGGTCTCGGCCCACCCACGCCAGCGAGCGGTCTCGGCTCACCTGTGCTAGCGAGCGGTTTCGGCTCACCAGTGCTAGCGAGCGGTCTCGGCTCACCTGTGCTAGCGAGCGGTCTCGGTTCACCCGCGCCAGCGAGCTGTCTCGGCTCACCCGTGCTAGTGAGCGACCTCGGCTCACCCGCGCCAGCAAGCTGTCTCGGCTCACCCGTGCTAGCGAGCGGTCTCGGCTCACCCGCGCCAGCGAGCTGTCTCGGCTCACCCGTGCTAGCGAGCGGTCTCGGCTCACCCGCGCCAGCGAGCTGTCTTGGCTCACCCGTGCTAGCGAGCGGTCTCAGCTCACCCGCGCCGAGACAGCTCGCTGGCGCGGGTGAGCCGAGACAGCTCGCTGGCGCGTAACTTGCCGACCCGTCGCACCATCAGGTGGGTCTATCGCAGCAGGCAGTAGCGCAAAGGTCAAAAAGAAGAATAAGAAGCAGCGAGAAAAAGGCCGCAGAGAAAGAGCCGCGCTCGCTGCTTCCAAGAGCAAGACTCAGGGAACTGGGCAAGCTACTGCTACTGCGGTGCTTGGGGCTGGAACCAGCAGTCGTGCTGAAATTGGGAAGGATGAAAATCCAGCCCGAGCAGTAGGCACGGCCGCCGGAACCAGCTCTAAGAAATCCGCCAGGAACCAGAGAGCAGCCAAGCGTCCCGGAAAGAAGGAAAGAGCAGCCAAAAGATTGCTGGAGGAGTCCACCTCGCCGAGAGGAGAGCACAAAAAAGTGCGACTTAACTCACGCGACATTGGTCGTGTACTTGCGTACCAGAACCGCTGGGTAAACATCAATGACTCAAAGCGGACATACAGACGGACGGGTGGTTCCTCGTTGTTTCGGTGCCGGAGGATCATATACCGACCCTGTGAAAGCCGGGCGCCGTCTCGCATGTATATGTGGGGCGGTATACGTTAAATTCCAGGGTCGTGGAGGAAAATTCGTTGATTCCCCACCTAGCAAAGAGGCAGAAAAGAACCCGGAAGTCATGGATACCGTGGCCATGGTTGTCTGTACATCGAAATCACTGGATTTCAAGTCCAGTGAAAAAACTGCCTGCACAACCGAGCCGAAGCCCCCAGTGGAAACTGAGCTCAGCGACAGCTCACTGAGCGACGAAGAGGACTGTATTTTGCCGTCCAATTTCGACTCGGTGGCTGACGATGAAACCTGAGATCTGCTAGCAGACTTATTTTTAGGCGGGGACGGGGATGACGCGATCGATGATGGCGTGCCCTTCGTCCAAAACTAGCCTAGTGCAGGCCAACCTCCATCACAGTGAAACAGCGTCGGCACAATTACGCAAGTGGTTGGACTCACGAAGGACGGCCATAGCCCTAATCCAAGAGCCATGGGTTGGGGCTGGTAAAATTAAAGGCCTAAACAACCTAAGAGGTAAGTTATTCTACAACTCTGAGCACGACAAGCCCACTAACAGATTTCTGTTCCAGGGACATGTATGCCGTAGCATTACAAAACACACAGGAGGAAAGGTTAGTCGTCGCCTCGGTCTACATGCATGAGGAAGACACCCCTCCCCTTCACGACCTCGTCAGGCTGGTGAATTTCTGTGAGAGGGCCGGACTAGAGGTTGTGATCGGGACGTACTCCAACGCGCATCATCCCCTTTGGGGAATGGAGAAACCTAATGAACGAGGTAAGGTTTTAGTTGAATATTTATTTAGCACTAACCTAACCATATTAAACACTGATTCTGAACCAACCTTCATAAATAAACGCTGTCGCACAATAATCGACCTCACACTTGGAACAGAAGGAGCAGCTATGCTAATAACGGGATGGCATGTGTCGAAAGAGGCCTCATGCTCAGACCACAGATGGATCTGCTGCGTACTACAGGTCGAAATCCCCGCTATACCACCATGGAGAAATTCCCGCAAGACGGATAAAACAAAATACTTCAATAGTCTGACGTCTTCGCTTGCAGGTGTTGGGGAACTAATACCATAGCAGATCAATCGCTCCTAGAAGAACAGGTAGCAGCTGTCATTAAAGCCATGATCGATAGCTACCATGAATTATGTCCAGTAATCACTCCACCAAAACATGCTGAACAAAAGCAACAGTGGTGGGGTAAAGAACTAGACAGGAAACGTAAGAAGGTAACAAAAGCCCTAAATAGGGCAATGAATACCTCAAAGGATGAAGACTGGCTTCTATATAAGAAAGCTAAGTCTGAATACAGAAAATGTATCAGGTATCGACGCTCAACAGGGTGGCGCAAATTCTGTGGTAGCATAGAAACCTGTGAACAAGCAAATCGGATAAGGAAAATCCTAGCTAAACAGAATACGCCGAGATCTATCTCTTTAAAGAAATCCGACGTAAGCTACTCAACATCGCCGGATGAAACCCAACGCATCCTAATTGATACTCACTTTCCAGGTTGCTGTGTAGTTGAAAGGGTGAACCGGCATGAAGATGCATTGACACCAACAAAAGAAGACTGGGAATTAGCACAAAGAGGGGTGACGATGGACAAAATCCATTGGGCCATTCATAGTTTCCAACCCTATAAGGCAGCAGGACCTGACGGCTTATTCCCGGCACTTCTTCAGTGGGGGGGGGGGGGTAAAGTCCTAATAGTTAGACTTGTTGCCATAATGATAGCATGTCTGGCTCTTAAATATGTTCCTAGGGGATGGAGGGAAGTGAAAGTCACGTTCATACCTAAACCAGGTAAGAACGACTATATAGACCCTAAATCCTACAGACCTATTAGCCTCACATCCTTTCTCCTAAAGACGATGGACAGGATGTGTGAACGGGAGTTGAGAGGGTCGGCGCTAATTAACTTACCGCTACACGATAAACAACACGCCTATAGCTTAGGCAAATCAACAGAATCGGCACTTCACCAGGTAATAACAAAGATTGAAGAAGCCATCCAAAACAAAGCAATATGTCTAGGCTACTTCATAGTCATAGAAGGTGCTTTTGACAGAACAAATTTCTCCAGCATAAAAGGTGCCCTAAGTAGACATAATGTTGAACCAGCACTGATTAACTGGATAGTAAACATGCTCAGTACACGAACAATAAAGATTGCTGGTGAATCTCAGACAATTCAGATCATGAAAGGATGCCCGCAGGTTGGGGTTCTTTCACCTCTCCTGTGGAATACGGTCATTAATGAACTCATCAGCAAATTAAACGCTAATCATTTCTACACAGTCGGTTATGCAGATGATCTGACAATACTGATCTCTGGTAGACATCAAGCATTGTGTGCGACCTGACCCAAGCGGCTCTCCGTATTGTGGAGAGATGGTGCAGGGAATATGACCTAACCGTTAATCCAAATAAAACGGTTATAGTAATGTTCACACAAAAACGAATGCTGAATAACTATCATCTTCCAAGTCTTTTCAGCACAAAACTCCAACTTTCTTCCGAGGTAAAATACCTAGGTCTTACCTTGGACAGTAAACTTAACTGGAACAAACACATAGAAAACAAAATCAGCAAAGCTAGTTTAACTTTCTGGCAGTGCAGAAACATGATCGGCAAACGATGGGGTTTAACGCCAAAAATTATACTGTGGCTGTACAAAATTTTAATTCGGCCCATGATCACATACGGCACTCTTATATGGTGGACCAAAACCAATGAAGCCACCACTATACAAAAGCTTCAGCGTTACCAGAGATTAGCTTGTATGGCTGCCACGGGCTGCATAAGGACAACACCAACAGCAGCTTTGGAGGCTATGCTGGAGCTAAAACCGCTTCATCTACACATAAAACAAGAAGCAACTTTAGCTGCCATTAGACTCAAGACCCTAAATCTTTTAAGTAAGAGTAGAGTCCCCCATACAGATATAATCGATAGAATTTACTCAAATATTCCTATCTTACAATCCAAGTATGATAGGATCCCAAAACAATTTGTATTCGATAAGAAGTACAGGATACAATTGAAAGAAACTGACCATCTGGAAGGATTGGGTCCAAGAGAGCTCAAAGTTTTCACGGATGGCTCTAAGACAAATGAAGGTGTGGGGTCTGGGGCTTTCTCTGAAGACCTTAATATCCACATATGCACACCGCTGGGTACCCACAACACAGTCTTCCAGGCTGAATGCATGGATATCATCCAAGCGGCCATAGCAATAGATGCTAGGAAGGTGAAAGACTTCTCCATCAGAATACTGACCGACAGTATGGCGGTACTACAAGCTCTGAGTTACAATGTGACGAACTCGGGACTGATACACGAGTGCCATCAACGATTGAATGAGGTATGTAAGTACAACAATGTGACTCTGCAATGGATCAAGGGACACAGTGGATCTAGAGGCAACGATGCAGCAGTTGAACTGGCCAGAATGGGATCGGCCCTAGCAACTATAGGGCCGGAACCAATAATACTAATCCCCTTTGGAAACGTTCGTTCACTGGTACGTAGATACCTCAATAATTTACACGCTGAGCTTTGGAAAAATTTTGTAGACTGTACACAAGCTAGGGAGGCCCTACCTCAAATAAACAGTCGTCTAACCAAGGTTCTAATGAGACTGAACAAGCCACAGATCAGGATAGTAACAAGTGCTATCACAGGACATGGCTCTTTTAACAAACATTTGTTCATCATAGGTGTTACTGACGGCCCCCTGTGCAGGGCATGCATGGGAGAGGAAGAAACGGCGGCTCACGTGTTGCTGACATGTCCAGAAGTCGCTTCATACAGGGCTAAACATCTCGGCACGCCGGGATCGCTTCCCAAAGTTGCTTGCAACATCAAGGGACTGCTGAGCTTCTTCGGGGAGATATCATGGCTCGAATAAGCATATTATTCCTGCCCACATGCAAAATACGCGATTAGACTGGTGTTGCTTAAAATAGCCCGTCGTAAACTAAACTAAACAAGACAATATTAGTATCCACTACACTAGGAGAGACACACTATTTTCCATTAATTATATGAAAACAAAATAATTACTATAAGTTCATTTGAGAACTTATAGTAATTACAGCCGCAGAGTTGAAATATCTATAAATTTTATGTTAGAATTTTTATCGTCAGTTTCATTTCATTTAAAAGATTAACTTTGTCTTCTTCTTCTTCAACCGCTAAACATCCACCGCTGGATAAAAGTAAGGGTGGCAGACGAGTACACAGTTCATGTGATGGTTAGTTTTCGACTTGGTAGAGCCATGCTGTATATTATGGTTGTAGCACGATTGGGTCGGCTCGGCCGGGAAAGCACCGGTAAAGTAGCAGCTTAATACTGCTGTTTTTTATAAGATGAGTGTTGAGAACCGGAGAACCTTTTTACTGGAAACATGGAATTCCATCTTAGTCTTCAGGGATCTTCATTTGGGTTCTTAATCGAGAAAATATGTT